CGTGACGGCGTCATGTAGTGACATCGAACCGCGGATAGCCACTATGATATTACGACTGCTGTGGTCGATGCAGGCGACGAATGGCGCCTTCCATACTTCGTCGTGAAAACTGACGTAAAACAGGTCGGTTTCGTCGATGGCTGTCTGCAGCAACAGTGCGGTCGTGTTACACAGACAACAGTTGTCTTTGATTATCAGCACACGATCGCAACGACACGTATAACAACAACGCAGCCTGCGCATCAATGTGCACAGTCGGTCTGAGCCGCAACAACAGTTCGTCGTGCAGATGTAATACGGCCAGCCGTAAACACCCAAAGCGAAGTCCATCACCCTCGATGCCAATCGGAAATTCATCCAATCAGGAACCGTTTCAGCTGGTGCTGGCCTGGTCTGACAAGGCTGCATTATGCACACTTGCTTGCTGGCCAACAAAGTTATACCTAAATTCAAAAATAATAAAGCAACGTAGATCAAATAATTGATTATTAACTATTAAATCTCTAGTTGGAAAAATCCATGCACAATTTGCTTTTATGCCCAAAAAATACAGGGAAACCTTTAGATACCTTCAGCCATTCTGAAACGACGACGACAGCTAAAACGTTAGGGATGGAAGCCAACCTCTGAAAAACAGAGAACTAATAAACAGACACTACTCAAAAATGAAGCACACTTTCATATAATAATGAGACCGGAATGAAACGGCGAAAATGCACAATGTAAAGAAAATTTGCTTGTTACTTTCTACCAGCAGCATTATTGTCTCATCCCCTAGAGGGCCATTTAAGCAGGTCACGGACCCACGGTATTTAAGCGCCTGCAGCTCACAGGGCAAAGGACTGTGCCTCAAACTTGGGCTGAACTCAACCAAAAAGATGGCCATTATCCGTATGCGAATACAGTAATAACCAGTAACAAAATATAATCCTGATGTTCTGGGGGAGCTCTCGAACATATCATATTAAAAATAATACAAACAGCGAGTTGCAACGTCGAAAATGCATACACTGGCCCCTTTCTTACAGTCGCATACGAGGATAATTTGAACAGGCCACACTCCATCGCATTTAAGCGCTTGTCTTGCATAGGACGCAGAACTCCCCAGAACATCGAATTTTGTCACAACTAAATACACTATTCATGCCATTTTAACGGTGAAGAGTAGGAAAATTTAGCAATATATTAAGCATGGGCACCATGCCACCACCTTTCTTGAACAGAGTACTGTATCTGTCATATTTTAGCGTGTAAGCTTTGTTTCAACCTCGAGCATGTGGCTATCAAAAGCCGACTAAGTAAAAAACGACTTTTCAAGTTTGCTCGCAGAAATCTGGAGAAACAGAAGAGCATAAAAACAATGTCGATAATGAATCGTAGCCTTCGCATCTCTACGTCACGGTAACGCCTTGATAAGATAGAAAAAAAGCTGATCAGGAATGAGTAAAATAAAAATTGCTTAACCAAGCAATAAATGGTAAATGAATTATGAAACAGTCAGAACTGTGATAAATTTATCAAATTATGAATAAATCAGGAGCAGAATGACCTCGGCGTGGCCTACGAAGATAAAAGTTTTTCGCTAATCAGAGTATATTCGAAGAAATTAGGCAATGTTAACTTAAAACGAATCGTATAGTAACCTCTTATATCCGAGCATGATGTACGTTTAAATGGATGTGACAAGATTGACAGTGGCAAAGATGACAATCACAGTGATATGAATGATGATGAGGACAAAATAACTCGTTAAATTCATAGCGATAATATAATAT